GCATTCCTCTTGCAGAAGAAAAAACAAAAGGCCCATCTCGTGTCCTCGATTTTCTGGGGATTACGCTAGATTCAGTGAAAATGCAAGCATCTCTTCCGCTAGACAAACTAGAAAGGATTAGAGGTTTTATTAGAACTTATTCCCAATTTTCTACCTTAACAAAAAGGGATCTTCTTTCTCTGCTGGGCCATCTCAATTTCGCCATGAGGATCATTCCTCAAGGTCGTTCCTTTATTTCCAGACTTTTAGATCTGTCCAAAACGGTTGAGAAAATGCATGACACGGTCAGGTTAGATGAAGGCTGCAGGTCCGATTTAATATTCTGGTCTAAATTATGCGACAACTGGAACGGCATTTCCTTCTTCTACGAAGAAGATATAGAAACCTCAGTTAAACTACAATTTTTCACCGATGCAGCTCCTTCCGTCGGGTTCGGGGGGATTTTTAACAAACAATGGTTTGCAGAAAGATGGCCAAAAGAACTTAAGGAACTGGGTCCCTCTATCCAATCGACAGCACTTATGGAACTATATCCTATAGTGATTGCTTGCTTATTATGGGCAGATCAATGGACTAGGAAAAACATCCTCGTTTTCTGCGATAACGAAGCCACAGTGAACATTATTAACAAGGGTTGCTCCTCCGTGCCTTTCATTAACCATCTTATCAGGCGTCTAACCTGGATCTCAGTTATGAACAATTTTACAATTAAAGCTACTCACATACCTGGGCTGGATAATAAAATAGCTGACTCTCTGTCTCGGTTTAATTTCCAGGAATTCAGACGCCTGTGTCCGGGAGCTGCTGCATCACGACTGGGCTGCCCGGACTTCAGCCAAACAGTCCTAGACTGAACGCAACATTGCAAAAATACCTAAAATCAGCCGCACACTACATGAGATCAGGGCTAGCTAAAACGACACTTAAAACTTACGACTCGGCGTGGTCATCTTTTTCAGATTTCTGCAACGCTTTCTCGGTGCCTAAACTCCCAGCTAACATACCCATTATATGTGCTTTCATTACGCACTGCTTCGAATCCAGAAAGCTTAAGCCTTCCACCATCAAGATTATGATCTCAGGCATTCAATTCCACATTAGATGTTTAGATGCTTCCTCTCAAAGCCTGTTACAAAATCCCTCCATATGCCTTCTCCTTAATGGGTTAAAAAAAGGTAAGCCCAGCAGTTCCAGATAAACGAC